GTTAAAGTTGTAAAGGCCATTTCATCAGAATCAGATTCTCAGATACAGAACTAGAGACTTTATTTGATAGAGTTTGCAAATGCTCGCTCTATACAAACAGTTTGTACAAATATGGTCAGTGATTCTTGACTTCTTTTTAGGCTATTTCTGAGACTGTGATATGTTTCTTATAAGTCGTCTAATTGGTTTCTTTATAAAGGAAGTTACCAATGTTAATGTTCCACTGTGTTTTTAGAGTTACTTGTCTTTGGAATTAGTTGACTTCCATTCTTGATCCCTTGCTCCTTTTTTCTTTTCTAATTTGTATAATTGTAGTTTGATATTAAATACTCCTGTTGCAGGCATTGATTTCAGTTAGCGCCAATCATCTTTCATTTGCATTGCAATTGGCAAGCTTCCTTCCTTATTGTGGTATATCTTGTCTTGGTTTAATAACTGGTCTAGTGTTGACACACTGTCTGGCTATGTTATAGGAGGTAAAGTTCATTACTTGCTATGTTAACCCCATGATGATGTTCCCTAAACAATTACAAGATTGAAAAGGTCTCCACCTTCTCTGGCATATATTATGTCTCTGACATGTGTAATTTAATTCATAATCGTGAATTGCACAGAGGATGAAGAAGACTGTTCGAGCTTCTCATCTCATGTCTATCTTGGTGCATCACTTTCAGGTTTGTTTTGCAAGCACAAATTTTCGAAATTTTATTGAGGGCTTCCCTCATTTGTCATCATCATCTGTAGAAAATGTTAAGTGTTCCTTTGACATGTATAGATTTCGCTTTTATTGATGCAGTGATTTTTGCACAGAAGTTCGATCAATTTGCTCAAGCTGCAAAGTTTGATTTGAGTGCTGTTAAGACAGAACTTCAAAATAACCAACGAAAAGGTGGCAAGCAATTGGAATGTTAAAGCACATATTTTCATCTTTCGATCTTCCATTGGAATTTAAGAGATGCCGTTGATTTCTGTTTTATATAACAAGTGGAGACATCTCTAATGTGTTAGATGATGAGCGTAATGATTGCTCTCTTTACATTACTAGTATTTTTTCTGCTCTACAGGTAGTCTCTTTTCTTGTTTTTATGCATCACTTCTTAAACACTCTTGCCCTCTACCAGTCTGATGGCCAAAACAAACATTGCAGGCCGTTACAATGATTATCATATATACATCAGATGCAGTGCTAAGGAAAAATGCGTTCGAAGCACTTAAAAGGGTGAGGTTTTTATATATTATAGTTCCTCAATCAGGCAACTATGATATGTTTTTTGAAATGTATTATTTTACCAAGTTCATATTCTCATCTTTCGATCTTCACAACTATCAGGTTCTGGGTGATATTCCAGATTCTCAGAGATTTGACATTTTTAAAGCTCTAATTAAAAATAGTGACTCTTCCTCTATGGTGAAGCCCAGTTTACTTGCTCTATTATTTGATGTAATTCTAGTTGAGGATATATTAACCAAAGTAGTTCCTCAAATTCTGTGTAGGTTGCAATTCTTCTTGATCTTGTTAGAGGGGAAATGCACAGAGAACGTATCCTGAGAATGTCGATATCTGAAGATGAAGCCTTAAAGGCCGACAATAAATCCATTCAAAAAACTTTATTTTGGTGTCCAAGCATCCTTGAGTTGGTAGAGTCAGTTTTGAGGCCTGTGTCGGGAGGACCTCCTATCCTTCCAGACAATAGTGACGCGGTATTTCTTTGCATCCTTTGCCTGTTGATGCTTTATCAGTCGATTTATACTGCATAACCATTTTATGATGATTGTGTTATTGTCTTGCTTGGCATTCTCAGTTTAACAGATTCTTGTGATGATCTTCAGGTTCTATCTGCCCTTAACCTGTACAGATATGTATTGATGACAGAATCAGGTAAAGCATAATTTACTGTTTTATTGAAGATGAGAACATAAGAGTATAGATGATATTTCTTGCAATGTACGTCTTTGTTGTCTTTGTGTTAACATAGCAACTGAAGGTAATGTATTTTACAAAACTTAGCCTCTGCGTATAGGCATTTGAGTAGTGGCCCAGCAGATTGATTTTTGGATGTTACTATACATTCAATCATTACAGCTTTATCCATCTATCAGCAACTACATTAGGAAAGCTATATGATGTTTTAAACAATAAAATCTGATAGGCGTTACAGTAAATGCTATTCTAATAGATCTTGTTTTACGTTCGACTGTTTGGGAAATTGAACAGGGGAAACCAACTACACTGGAGTGCGGTCCAAGAACAATTTGCAGAAGGCCTATAATGAATGGCTCCTACCTCTTCGAATACTTGCGAGCAGCATCGAGGCAGCAAATAAGAATGATAATGATCAACTTGCAGTCAACACTGTATGTGCTCTGAACCCAGTTGAGTTGGTTTTGTACCGGTGTCTTGAACTCGTTGATGAAATTTAAAACATCCAGTCTAGCATACTTGAAAGTTGGTGCTGTGGCCTTTACATAGGGGGCAATTTGGTTCCAGAATCTAATATTACTGGGGCAATCTAACGTGTTTGGATGAACATTACTTAAGCAGGTAATATGTTAGTATTGATCGTCTAATCTGGATTTATTATTGTAGAGGTTCATTGTGAGGTGATTCTTTCAATCTAGTTTGATGGATTCATAAAGTTGAGACTCAAACTCTGAACTTTATTTAAGGGAATCAGTGTTTTATACCACAATAACAACTAATTTGAATTGCATCAATTTCGTTAACGCCCTAAATCGCTTCATGATGGGACGAAATGAATTGGAGCATGTACAACACCCTATCCACGGCTGCCAATCGCTGCTTTATTCTCATGCCATGGACCACGGGCGTATCTCTTTCCAAGCCGGTTAACGTCACACCCTGATTAGCTTCTTTTTGTTTCATTTCATTAACTCCCCTTCTTTTTTCCCTCTTTATCTTCATCGTTATATGGTTATATTAAACCTATTAAATGACATGTAAAAGGAATTGTTCTTTTTAGAAGATCCATGTTTGAGTAGTTATTTTTGCATGGTACGTGTGTTGTCAAAAAAAAATTTATCAACTGTTGTTTTTTGTCATCAAATTTTTAATAAAAAAATTAAAATTATTTTTTAAAAAATTAAGTGAATATTTTATAATTTTTCATAGTTAACAGATTTAACAAAAAAATCTTTTAGTTGGAGAGACTATTTACGTAATTTTATAAGAGGTTTTCTTTTCTATAGACACAAGTAGGAAAAAATGTCTCTAACAAAGAAAATCCCCAGCTACTCATCGTCTACAGTTTGGAATTTAATAAAATAATTTCATAAAATGTATTTTTAAAGTTAGGTGTAGGTAACCGAATAGTTAGTACAGCTTCTCCAATCATAGGCTTACATTTTAAAGTTTTGCTTATGGTCGACGTTATGGATGATCCCGGAACGTGTGTTGGGGGGGGGGGGGGGGGCATTTGTCCTAATTGATACCGTTTAACTGAATATCTTTCTTTCTTACATCGTTTGACCTATATTTTTTGAAGTAGCATCTTTTCGGTTGAGGTAGCAAAAGGCGCATCCTCGGGGACGCGTTTTACCCAGGTTAATGCTAAGTTGGTTGCCACGTATGGAAAGCACATCCCCGGGATATTGTTGATTCGGTTGTCACGTGTGAAAGGCGCATCTTCGGGGACGCGTCTTTCATTAAATGTCTTAAATGCCCATCCAATTTTTCCCCAACTACCCCTCCTCCTCCCTATATAAACCCCCTCAACCCCCATCATTCTTCACACCAAAATCATCTTCTCCTCTCTTATATAACTCAATTCTCTAAATCTTTTAGTCGGTTGTCACGTGGAAAGGCGCATCTTCGGGACGCGTCTTTCATTAAATGTCTTAAATGCCCATCCAATTTTCCCCAACTACCCCTCCTCCTCCCTATATAAACCCCCTCAACCCCCATCATTCTTCACACCAAAATCATCTTCTCCTCTCTTATATAACTCAAATTCTCTAAATCTTTTAGTTTTAAATTTCTTATTAGTGGTAAAAAATTTATTTTTAAGTTAGTATTTTTTTAAAATAGTTATTATATTTTATTTATATTAATATAATTATATAAATATTAATTTTTATTAAAATAATATTTATATAATTATTATTATTTTTTAAATTTATTAATTAATTATTTTTTGTGCTAATTATTTTTTTTGTCTACAATTATAATGAAAAGTGAAATGCTGTTGCGATTGGATACTGACCATATCTACAGTATAATTAAATATGTAATTATACTGATTTTATTAAATTATGCATCAATATTTTCGTATAACTACAATAAAATCAAAACTGGTTTTCATCTATTGTTCTATCAGATTAATGTGGATAATTAACTCCACCTTTAACATATATTAAAAAAATACATTTGATAATTCTTACATTATAATCGAAACACTTTACATAATATATTACTAATTTATAATAATAATAAAAATAAAATATTTATTATTAAAAAAAATACCAACGTGGTATCTGAATCAGCAATACCCAGTGAAGGCGTGTCTCCGGGGATGCGTCTTCCACACGTGACAGCCAACTCAGTATTAACTCGGGTAAAATACGTTCCCGAGGATACGCCTTTCGCCACCTCAACCAAAAAAATGTCACTTCGAGAAATATTAATCAAACGATGTCATAAAAAGAGATATTCGATTAAACGGTATCAAGTCAATTCGCCGGAATGTGGAGTTGGCTAAGACTGATTAATGAAATAAATCTGCTCGTACACGTTTAGAGATTTTGTCTATTATTCTCTCTTTTCAACACACTAGTCATCATCATTCACTTCACATCTGCAAGATCCACTTTTAAAATAAATGATTATTTTGCTTTTTAATTGTACAGATGGAAAATAACCAATCACTAGCAGCAAACACTAGCGTGCGAGCTTTAATACTTACTGTAAAGAAATTTCATTGCCCAAAATTATGAAATTAATTTAATCCAGTTTTACATAAATTCTGGGATCGAATTTCCACCGATCCTCATCGAGTTTCAATCAAGCTTCTTGCCTTGGTCGCTGTTACTAATTTTCCAGCAACTCCGATTCTAATATGCAAGTAACCAGCGCTTATCTGTCAGCTAGTCCCGTACAACGCTTCAGGACATGAATCATCCTCAGCGGGCACCATATTTAGATCAGGCAGTACGAAAATACTCTTCCCCACGTTGTGAGAATCTACCACCGGTTTACGATCATCTTCATCATCGAGGGTCGAGTCCAAAGAAGATGATGCTTTCGGACAACTTACCGTCTCAGGTTCATCATCAATTAAACTCGAGTTCTTTGCGGTGTCCACCGAGTTCAAACCAAGCTGCGATACAAGTGAAGTTTACATCAAAAGGAGGGCGAAAATAAGAAACATCTATCAATGAGAAACAACATATACTTCCGACCAACCCTGATTCTTTCAAGCTCATCGCGCTCGATGCTCTTTACGAGTCGATGCTGTTCCTGTTGAATGAACAGAGAAGATGACTGTAAGATTAATGAATTGCAGCCTAGAGAATACATCATGATCGGATTGAAGATGATCCACAAAACACACACCTTTTCTAAATGAACCCTCTCCTTCAGAAGAAGATTCTCCTCCTCCAGTTCAGCAAATGTCTGAAAAATGACAATAAATTGCTCTAAACAAATCATCAGAAAACATTTTTTTTCCCGAGAAAATCATTCAACTCATTTGTTTACCTTCTTTTTTCTTGACCTCTTGGTACCTGTTCTGTCTGTTTCACTAGAAGCACTGCCCTGCAAAATCGAGAAAACCCACCATTAATCACTAAATTAAGCACGCATTCACATTTTCAAATTGCCTAAATACATGATCGTAAAACAAGTCACAGAAGGCATTCAAGTCCGGGTTCAAAAAAACTCAAAATTCGATTCAATTTTAATCGAATAATCCGAATTCGAGTATCTTCATAGTTGTTTTTAGACCAATAAGCATGATATTAGCCAACTCCTCTAACAAAAATGAATTAAAAGCTCATATTTTGAATTATTAAAAAAAGAAAGAAAATCAGACGACACTATCAAGATCAGATACAACGAGAAACATGCAACCTGTAGGACAGGTGGCAGAACCAAGTGGTGGCGAAGGGGCATATAATTAAGTGATTGGACAATAATAACACGCCACGTAATACCAACAAACACGTGACGAATCCGATCCAAGGCATGACTTTGATAGAGCAGTGGCATATCATGCACGTGACTTGCACAACAGGTTTAAAACGCGATAAGAACAAAATCGAGAAATAAAAAGATAACCGTCGTCGTGTTAAAATGATAAAACCTTTAAAACACAATGGCATTTTGGTCCAAACCTCGTAGGAAAACAATGACAAGGCCTTTTATATGTTGTTTTATACAAAAATAAGGGTTCTTTTGTCCAAATAAAGCATCCTATCAAATTTTTATACAAAATAAGACTCAAACACTTTTATTTTTAAATCTATAATATTTTTTATAATACATAAAATTTATCACGTAAAAATGTCGATAAAAATATATTTTATTTAGATTTTTTATTTTGATATGATTAATTTTAACAATATAAATCTTAAAATAAAAACCCAAATTCCCTAATAGACTAAATAAAATAACCCGAAAGCCTTAATGGAGAAAAAAACTAAAAACGAGTACAAACTGATACCTAAAAAGTTTTTATTAAAAAAATGCATAAAATTTTTGTTATATTATTAGATATCATTAGTTTTTTTAACAGCAGACAAATATAACAAAAAAATTATATACGTCCATTTTAATCAATAATTTAAAACACCAAAAATTAATTTAAAAACTTGTCTTTATATTAAATTTTTTCATAATTATTCTTAGAATTAATTGCGTATGATGTACTGAAACTATTACTTGCATCTTAAATCGATTCTTAAATTTTTAAAATATCATTCCTCAAATTATGAGCATTTTAAATTAGTCTATAAATTGTTAAAAAAATCTTTAAATTTATTATACTTTAAAATAGAATGATATTGATATTTTAAGGATCGATGTAGATCGTTTTAAAATTTAAGAAATGATATTAAAGTTTTTTTAAAGATCAGGATCAATATGAAATGAGTTCATAAATTGAGGACACGCCGTGCAATTTACTTATTATTACTACTATTCGAAGACGAAGAGAAAGTAAAAGGTAGATCTGATGAACTCAGTGAGTCGGCTGTACCGATGAATTACGGCGTAAAAAAGAAGATTAAAAGGGGGTTTGATGATCATTCCAAAATCCAAATCAAAACCAGAAATCGAAAAAAACAATGGTGGCCATACATAATTCTGTACGCCACACAAGAATGTTTCCGTCAACTCAAAACTATGACAACAGAAAAGAGATTTAGCCACCAGAGAGAGAGAGAAGAAACCTTGGATCTGGAAGGCGCGACAGGAGATGAGCGGAGGAGGTGGGTACCGGTCTCTTCAGAGACGTCGGCGGCGGCGGAAGGAGAGGCTAAGCTACCACCACTCCAACAAAGGGGCGTGGTGGGACTACCTCCGTCTCTCTTGGCGTAGCAGCGCAACAACGTGGGTCTAGACCTCCTCTGACGCATCCCCCATTTGAGTTCAGATTTGGGAGCCGATGGTGCCGCCTGGGCTTGCCTGAGCCTTACCAACAACTCAACCACCACGTTGTCGTCCGTGATGGCCGCCTGAACCCACTCATCTTTCACCATCACCGTTATAACCACCAGCAGACAACGAAAAACAAAGAGAGGGAGATAAAGAGAAACCCAGATTTTGGTAAATCTATAGATTTGAAGAAAATAATGTGATATGGGGTTGGGAAGAGAAAGGTATGAAGGGTGGCCGAGAAAAAACATGAGCAAAGAGAAAACAAAACAAAAGAAAGTGAGGAAGTGAGCAAATGTTATATAGAGAAGGGCTTTGTTCTGTTTTTGCTCGAGGCTTTTTCTATAAATTTAAAAATTAAATTTAAAAAACGGAATGTTCTGTTTGTGGATTGATTCCAGCTTATTCGATTTGGTATCTCTCTTCGTAAATATAATAAAGATTTGCGTAAATACCTGTTTACACATCTAATCATTCATATAGTTTTATTTTAATTATTTAGAGATAAGGTTTTTTTATAGCATAGACCAAAATTCTTATTTCTTGCAATTAAGGTAACTCGTAGTCTAATGCCGATAATTTTGTTGGAAAAAAATTATTACTATTAATCCAAATTCAATAAAATCGCCTTTTAATGCTTGTGATTTTGTATTTTAATTTTAGGATTAAATTGAAAAAAATAAAAATATATGAATTAAAATAAAATTTTATAAAAAAAATGACTGTGATAAAATGGAACGGTCAGTTTAGATATCCAAAAATATAATTCACTTGAAACTTACTTTTGAAAATTCTTAATTTAGGCCCTCCACTTTCATTTCTTTACAATTTGGGTTGACTAAAGAAATGAAAGTTGGGAGATTAAAACATTTTTTTTATAAATTAGATTTAAGTAAACTAAATTTTAGGTTCCTTCCTTAAACTCATTTTTTATTTTATTAAATAGTTAGTTTACTTTTGTAATTTCATTTTAGTCCATGTAATTTTATATGACTTTACTCCAGCTTTTTTGTATTCTGGAACCAATTTGTAAAGGATAAATGGATGGATTAAAATAAGAACTTTTCAAAAATGAGCTTTAATTGAATTAAAATTCATAAGCTCGTTGTTTCGTTTAATTATATAGTCATTTTTATAAACTTTCATTTTAATTTTTTAATTTTTCAATTTAACCCTCAAAATGAAAGAAATGGACAAAATCAATTGCGTTAAACGAAGACTTTGGTGGGTTTGATTAAAAAATACAAATTTTCAACAAAATCACTAACATTATACTTAGGGTTGTTAGATTCGACTTAAAAAATTAATTTTTTCTATTCAAATTGACTTTGACTAGATCATATATATATATATATATATGTATTGTATATGGTTATAAAAACCCATGAAAATTGGAACAATATAATATCATAATATTATAAATATTTACAATTAAATTTAAACAAAAATTATAAAATTTGATTTGATTCGAAAAATTTTAAGTTAACTTCAAGTTATAAAATATGACTCATCAACTCGAATAACTTAAATTTTTTTGACTAGATTCGACTTGACTAGATCGGATGTTAACTCCAAGATTATACTTACCTTAATCGTCGACAAGAGATGATAACTCTGGTATGTATTGTAGAAAATAATTCATTTTACTAAATAATTACTGAAGAACGATATTTTCCTAAATCTTTTTCAAGTTCAATATTTCCCGAAATAAATCTTGTTTTTAGTCTTTTACTTTTATTAATTATTTAAAACATTTTATCAAAGAGGATTAGGCTTACTCTATATACCTACTTTAATGAAAAAATATTTTTAAAATATTTAAATAAAAATAATACAATATGAATAACTATTTTTTTTTAAAAAGTCTTACATTTTATATATACATTTTTTCTCTTTTGGGTTAATGCGCCTATGCAGATGCAACTATATTATGTGGTACAATTTGCCTCAAAGTTTGGGAAGTTTTTATGTTATTAATTGGCTTAATATAAAATAAGGGCATGAAATTTGTCTTAAAAATTTTAGTGCCTAATAAATTTTTCGTTAAAAATAGATGTTTAATATTTTAAAGTTATACATTTAGGTGTTCATCTTTAAAAATCATTGTTAATTGAACGTTAAGTGACATGTGTTACTTTTAATAATTTTGAGAATTTATTTAAAATAAAATATATTTTTTGTAAATAAAAAAAAGAACAGTGTCCCCACCCCATGCGTGCTCCCTTTCCCCTGCAATAAGTCGTCAGCATGTCAGTAGTGACCATCGTCACTATTTTTCATCGATTCCTGTTGATCCCGAATCCATATGCATGTCGTCACCGCCATTTGCCACCGTCCAATTCCACTCAAAACCCATCATCGTCTGTGCTCCTAAGATGTTCCACCATGGTAACGGAATTGAAAAGAGATGTTTAGTTTTTTGAGTTTTTTAAATTTTATTTTTTTTTTTTTTTCATTAAATATAATATTTTTATAAAATCTAAATAAATAACGGTCACCTAAATGTGTAACCGAGAAAACTTTAAGCACCAATTTTAAAAAAAATTCTTTAAACACCAATGATGCAAGCACTTTCATCAAGGGAGTATTCTTGAACATTTTTTATCTTGTATTACTTACTAGTTTAATAATCTATGCTATTATAATATCTCATGTTAAGATTACTAGTTATGTAGTTAACAAATAACTTAGCATGAACACATCTTCACAAATATGCACATTGTTATTTAAATATGTTAAGCAGTTAGAATAGTCTTGCAATCATATTAAGCATGATTCACACATTTATATAATGGCAGCATACTTATCATTTATTTTATTAGCTCATATGCATTCATTTTAGCTCTTAGGCTTTAAACATTAGTTCACACATATTATAGTGATAAGTAGCTCAAACATGCAACCATAGCTCACAAGACCATGACATGCACGACAGCAAGGTATTTAGCTCATACAAGCTCAATGCCAATGAATTAGCTTGTTTTCTTGCCATAGGTACATTGGAGCATGACAAACGTTGGGGCAGCTTGGTGGAGCATTTGGAAGTCATATGCAGCTCACAACAACTCACAAAGAAATGGCAGCTCGTGGAACACTAAGGAAAGCTCAACTCAGTGGAGGAGCTCAAGGCCAACTAATCTCAGCTAGTTGGACTATTTGAACCTAAGTTGCTAAAAGTACATCAAATGTAGCTGAACGTAGTTGAATAAGATGTTGTGAAGATTAGAAGGTCTCGGCTAGGAAGCTCATTCACAACCAGCACCTTGCTTGCTAGCTAGCTACACACTCAAGCAAGCTTGGAGGAAAAACCATGCACGCCCAAGATGATGCACATGACCAGCCTTCATCCTATGCACAAGTTGCACCACAAGGTTCCCTAGAACACCCATGTGCGTGCCTTATGACCAGTAACCATTGCCTTGCATGTGGTCTCTTTTAGGTGCCAAGAGGAAATGATACATCACCATTCGGCCAAGCACTCCCTTCTCTTCAATTTGGCGCCAAGATGAATAGCAAAAGGAACCATTCGGCCAAGGATTACTACCCTTCATTTAGGACCAAACCATAATCTCTTTTAGCATTAAAGTTATGTCATTTTAAAGAGACACAAGGCCTGGTCGAAACCCCTTGTAACCATTCAGCCATACCCCTCCAAAACCTATAAATAGGCTATCATAATTCATTTGTAATCAGACCTTTTTCATAAATTAAAATGATATTATTCTCTTTGCTTAAGTCTTTGTGACTTTTATCGACTTATCAAGTAATTCATTACTTGTGGCGTCAACCTCTTCCCTTTGATACTTGTGGTTCCTATCTAATATAGATAGTGGGTCCAAGTCCTTATTACCACCCCTTAAAGAAGCAATATAAAGTTTGGTCTTTGCGCATTGGCTCTTCTTTGAGTCTTCTTTAAGATACTATCCTCACCACCATTCCTTTGTTCATCAACCATACCTTAGCCATAACAACATACTTCCGCTACCATTTCTCTTAAACATAAATAGCCTACCATTTCACCTTTACATCTACCACCAAACCATCTATTTGAGCCATTCACTTATGTTTTTTGCTTTCTTTCTAGATCCACAATCAATCGAAAAGGTAGAATTACCTTACATCAACCAAATTATTTTTCGAGATAAAATTCAAATACTATTTTGTATTAAGCTATGTTGATTCAAACAACTGAGATTCAAGTTGATACTTTAACTGTGTGACATAAGTTTAGGTGAAAGTTTAAAAAAATAGTTCAAACATTAAATCTAGTAATTAATTTTATATTTAATTTATAATTGAAGTACGTAAGATGCATTTGATGACTAACGAAAGACAATCAAATCAGAGGGGTTGAAAAATGAAGATGAGATATGGCAGTGATTTGAATCGTATTTTTGGGTTTTAATGGCCGCCTATTCATTATGCCGTTTCCCCTTACCTTTCATTTAATTATAGATTTTGATTTTAAACTCCTTTACAATTCGCTCTGCTATGTTGCAGTTTTTTCCATACTCGGCGGTGGCGGTTATCACATTTCTTTGCGTTAAGGGTGGTGGTAGTGGCTTTTCCGGCCACTTCTCTGCTATTTCTTTCTTCTTTTTTTATTTTCCTTTGATTTTCTTATTTTTTATTTATATCATATTCACATAATATGTTTCTTGGTCTTTTCTCTAATTAAAGGTATCATAGCTACTAGTGTTTTAGACTTCCGATATAGGTTTTTTATGTCTTCTCCTTAGTATACGGTTATATGAAATTTTTGGTTGCTTGTTTCTCAAATGTGTGCTCCTTTGTTCGTTTGCATGTGACATTTTATTGATTGTTGGATATCTATGTCAGATGAGATTGTAGTAAAAGAGGATAATTCATCTAATTTGAATATTATTCAAGTTTTTTTCTCTATATTTGGTGTCGGGAATGTAGAAGTGTTTTTTTTTTTGTCGTTGCCTCAATTGTTCAAATTCGTACTCATCTACTATCACTTATCGTTTACTGTTATATTTTATTATGATAATTATAAATATATTGTCTTGTATATATATGTCAACACGTTGGCGCTACTTTGTTTTGCTAACAAATATTATAGTTCTATTTTCAATATATATATAATATATTGTAATAGGACAAAGTGAGGATTTTAATTAAAAATAAATATAATTATAATTTAATATGAAGGTAAAATAATTAATTATAAAAAATTAAAGAAATGAATAATTAAATTTACTAAGATATATATCTTTAACA